CACCCCCACCCTAGCTTGTGTCCTTGTCTGTGGTGTGGAGACCACATCACATGGAAGAGGGAGCCTACAGGGGTAAAGTCCATCTATCCGCCACCCCACCGTCACCACAGAAGAAGAATCCTTCTTTGTTCCCAAGCATGCTGCCATTTTCCTGGGGGTGTACGGAACTCGTCAGAGCCGTGGAGGTCCTAAGAAACCTCAGTGGGACATTTAAACTACCTGGTCTCATCACGGCAGACAGTCCTAATAGCATCTCTCAAAGTCCGCCCACGCTCAGTTTAACACGCACATCTGTCGGCTTATTCTGCGCTCAGCTTCAACGCGATCACTTTACATTTCCCGCTATTATTTGATCACCGGTTTAATGTATGTTTTTAAAAAAAGATACACAGACCCCTACCTCCCTCCATCTCTCTCTCTCTCTCCCTCCCACTCTCTGTCACTCCCTCTCCCTTCCTTTCTCTCTCTCTCTCGCTCCCCCCCTCCCCCATGCAGTGTGTCAGGAGGCCTGGAGCTCAGGTAACTAAAGTGAGGCGGCCTGCACACAGAGTCCCATGACAGGGGGGGCCGCCGCAGGAAGCTAAAGGGAGAGCCGAGCACATCATTAGCAGGGGCCGCCTGGCGTAGAGATGTCTGCCTGAAATGGCGGTGGGGGGGGGGGGCAGGAGGAGCGAAAACAAGGAAAGGCAGCTGAGCTTAAAGTAAAAGGTTAGGCTCCGATTTTCATTAGGCTTTTAGACCTGAAGGCTTCCACTCATCAAAATACCTCGTTTTTATTTCCAGTAAATGTCAGATGGAACATGTTTTTGTTATTTTGTTTTATTTCTATTTTTCTTAATTTGTGTTCTGTATGCACCAATACTGCTAAAACACACTAGTACATGCAGGCGTACCTGGCCATTGAAGTGATTTCTGATTCTAATTATTCCAAACTCGCTGAGTACTCACTGAGTACTCATTGAATACTCACTGCCATCCTGTGGCTCATATCAGGTTTTACTAATTCTTGTTGTAATTGCTTTTATTTTCCGGTGCGATGACTGCTTTATTGCATCTATTGACACAAATTATGTATTTCAATGTATACATCACATTTACAATACTATCATTTTGACTATAGAAATATATAAAAATAGCACTCCACGATAATTAGTTGGATCTAAGTGAATTAAATCAGACAATGATTGAAGTGTTCAGATGGATCCTGTGGTGGGATTTAAAACCTGACTTTTTCGTGCCCACATGGATGCCCACACTGGCCTGCTGAGTCCCCCCCCCCCACACACACACACACCTGCCCACACTGGACTGACTCTTTTATAGTCAGTCTTTCTCCAATTACATATTTCTTATCTGCCTTGTTACTCCTACAGGAACAGGAAGCACATTATCGACAGGGGATGGAGGAAGGTGAACGGGACAGAGTGACTGCAACCTGGGTCGTCTTTCCATTACCTGTATTTTCCATTAGCTAAGGGATCAGTAGCTTCATGAGGGAAGCTGTGTGGCTGACTGTCTTCATGGGGGGGCAAAGGAACCTCCCCCACCCCATTTGCTCTGAGGTTCCAGCTAAAAGGTCCCACCCACTTTTGGAATTTCTCCCCGAATTTCCCTATCATACCCAGCAGGGGGCAGGACTGGCCCATTCTTTCCTCTACTCTGCACAACAAGGCACGAGAGAATACTACAGAATTTTAAAAAATCATTTTTTCAGCGGCCTTCCTCGGTTAATGTAAAAGGTGTCTTTTACGAGCTCGGGAGATGCAGATGATGCAGTGTTACGAAAAAGTAAATGAAAAAATGAAGGAAGGAGAGGAAGAGGCAGGACCGGAGACCACGCCCGCTCAGAGACACCCACGTCTCCTCAAATGACAGGCAGCTTCGCCTTAAGGGCCAAGAATTTATTTTGGTTAAGGGCGATAGTGATTAAAGACATGGACTGTAACCAGAGACTGACAAGGAGAGGCCAAGGAGGAACCGCCCTGCTTCCGGGCCTTTGATGGACCTGAATCGCTTTAATGAAAATACGCCTGTGTGGAGGGCTATAAGTGTGTAAGTGTGAGCTGTTTTTCAGTGACGACAAGATTAAAGGGTAATAAAAGCAGGATCCATAGGAGCAGCTGGCCCGTGGGGAACAATCAAAACAAAAGAAAAGCTTGCGGCTCACATCACACCCTGGATAATTCTCTCTTTCTGCAGGCATGGCATGTCCCAGCTCAGTTAGCACAAATTTATACATATATATCTACTTACAGCGGGAGAGATCCTGGGGTTATAGATTATCAGCAGTGCTGTGTTGACCTAACTGGGCTTTTTACATTCCAGTGATTGTGTTTAGCTTTGTGGAAGCTGTGGCCTAGAAAACCGCTGAATCTGATGCTGGAATATGAGTGCAGCTGGTGGTGCAGCGGTTAGGGAATCAGACTCGGCTTGGAATTCGGCTTTGAAGCTTAAATTATGAGCTTTCAATTTGGATACTAAATGGTCAAATACAGCAGTGTAGGCTGGAGGGGTCGATCAGGGCTGGAACATCAGGACAGCATTTCAAATGTGTATCAGTACATTCACAGAGAGAGCAGCAGGGACTGGTGCATGAGACTGGAAACCAGTTTGTGGATGGGCAGAGTAGCCTTTGGAATTCATGTATGGAATCAGAGGGGGACGTGGTCCAATGCCTGAGGAAGATCTCAGCATTACGCGAGACTTTAAGAGACCAATGGAAGATAGTCTGGAATGGTCAAATGACAGTGTACCGGAGATGATGGAGCACTATGGCCATCCGCCCTTTATACTCCCTTCTGTACATCAGAATCAGTAGCCGATCGGTGATGATACAAATTTTACTTTTGTTGTGCTAAATTCCACATCAGTTCCAGAAGGTTCTGGCCAGACCTTTCAGCATCCCCAGGCTCAGCTAAAAAAATGGGCGATGGGCCGCCGGCTCATGACTCGTGGGCCAGCGCTCCTGCTGGCATCCATCTGCTCTGCACCACCCAGCCTTATCTGGCATTTCTGGGCTCATGCGTGTCAAACAGGGGTGTTGACAGGGGAGCTTCTGAAGAACCAGAAACGCCCCCGACAGTCAGCCTAAAATTTGGTTCTCACCTCCCTCCCAGCAAATGCAACTTGAGTCTGGCTTCTTAACATTGTGAATTTACAAATGTGTCTCAGGCACTGAATGACAATCTCTGTCTTGACCTTTTAATACAATTTTAAAGTAACCTTAATGATGACCCTTTCCTTTCTCGGGAATCACAGATCCTTTGATTTCAGTCTAACATTTCACACAACAGCTATTGTAGTTGTAGTTGTAAATACAAATATGAGAGCGATTTTATGATGTACGTGGACAGAACAGCGTAAAGCGTCCCCTTAAACAATTTACCACGAGAAAAACCGAAAGCACAAGTCGGTCGAAACAAGCCGGGCGTTGTGCTTTTTCAGCTGGTTCGGTTTGATCCCCGTCGGCTACCGTCGGGCGACTGCACACAATGTAACAGCGCTGTGTAGACCTGCGTTATTTCTGTTTTTGTCGGCGTCGTTCTTTTGCGGTTGTTCTTACTTTTTATCGACAGTTTGACACGAGGTATTACAATGCCAGGCTCAAGGTCATCATGACAGATCGATTTCTTTGCTACGACGGCGACATGTATTTGTGACCATCGAGCAAAGCGACCGCTGCTGTCGGCTGGTAGACGTCGGGCATTGTCGATGTGCACATAGACCTGCTGTAAGTATCACACTCGTGTGAAAAATTTAGATACGTGCTATCGCTTTGGAGCCGCGGTGTGTAAACAGATCAGGAAGAATCTAGCCTGAGACGAACTGAGCTGCCTTAACATTCTCGGTTTTAGGATGACCCCCCCCCCTCGAACTGAAGTTGACACTTCTTTAATTTCGTCAGGCTGGTTATGATTATGGTATTTCCCCAACGAAACGAATATCTCAAAACACTATTGCCGCTGTTTTTAACACTATTGCCGCCGAGAGCTTTGTTGATCTCGTTAAGAGACCCGACTTTCGTATTAGGAGTTAGTGCAGATTGACTAATGTACAGTTGCGCTACAGTTGGTCAGATTGCCGGTGCAGGATGGTGCGATCGCCGGAAAGGTACGTAGTAAAGTGTTGGGCCGGGTAATAAATGCGGCTCAGTATTTTGTCCCTTTTGGTTTTGTATTGTATCTGTCAGACTGACGCTGCATGATGGCTGTCGGCCTCGGTGTGTGTGTGCGTGTTTGTTTGTGTGTGACACACCTCAGATACACCTTATGATGTCACATGGAACGATCTGACGTTGGCACCTATAGGCTTCGTGTGAAAACCTTTAACCGTCTCGCAAACCGGGCGACCCCCCCGCTAGGTGACGTCACCACGCCCACGTGTTTGTCCCAATGCTTATGAAAAGCCGTCAAAAGCCGTCATGCTTGTACAGCTACGAGCCGCCGGGCCGCATGCTCCCGTTTCCTACCACCTAACATTAATCCTGGCCGTAAATAATTAAATACGTGTTAATTGTTTCTGCAGGAAACAGCGAAGGCTCCTCTTGGCTCAGCTGGATACTGGAAGTTTAGTAGATGGCTGGAGAAAAGCTTTGGATGATTTGAATTTTAATCCTTATAAATTAATTGCCCAGCGAACTTTACCCTGTTTCTTTCAAATAGAATTAAACGCGTGAACGAGACAATATCAACAGAAAGTCTTTAATCTTTCATTTATTTTTTGCTTTTATTGTATTCACTTAATAGAAGCGGTTTCCGTTTTAGTCATGCCATTGTCTAATGTCTGCATGAAACTGAATTCAGGCCAGAAGGGAAGTACCAGGGAGATCTTCCTGATTCTTCTTCTGATAGAAGCTGATGTGAAACTTCAGCTTGACCAGGAGCCCACAGTGACTGCGGCACTCGAAACATGGTGAAGCCACACTGATGGAGAACCACGCGAACTGGTGAGAAGGTGCTCGGTGCTGGTCACGTAGCCTCACGGACCTCTGGGTGTTATCCAGCATTCTATAACAAAGAACAAACATGTTTTCAGTCACAGTCGGTTCCTGCGAGCATCATGGTTATGTAAAGATTATTCTAGTTGCTGATGTCACCTGGCGTTTGTGATTTTCAGCTCTGGGGAGGAGGAGAGCTGCGGGGAGCGAGGTCTGCTGCACCTGTGGAAGGGCTACTCCTGCAGCGTGACCCCAGAGAAGCTGCTCCTGTCCCGGCCTGTGCTGCAGGCCGCCCTGGGGACCCGGCATGGCGTCCTGCTGGTGGAGGGTGAGCGTCCTGGGGCTGCAGGATGGGCTGGCGTGGGTGTTTTAATGTTTCTTTGTTTTTTGGCGAGCGGAATCGTGCCAACTCGCTGTGCCATTCCTGTTCTCCTTCCCACCCATATTATCTCGTAGCTCTTGTTTAGTCCTTGGTGCTGTGACTCAGGTGGGGTTTACTCTGCCATGTGGGCGTCTCCCATTACTGCCCACCAGGGGGCAGACTTACTGTGTAAGCCACTGTCTTTAGAAACGTATAAGCTGTGTGCTCTGCTTATTTTAAGGCATGATGTGGGTGTGTCGCTGTAGTTCTGTTAGCTCGACGTTGCAGCTGTTCCCTCCTTGTCCACAGGGGGGCAGGTGTATAGCTTTGGGGAGATGCCATGGAAGAAGGCGTTGCCAGGCAACCCCGTGGAGCCTGTGCTGGAGGCGGAGCTCAGCAGCCAGCGCGTGGTGTTTGTGGCGGCCGGCAGTTTCCACAATGGCGCGGTGACGGAGGACGGGGTTGTGCACATGTGGGGGGAAAACGCGTCGGGTCAGTGTGGGATGGCGGGCGCCGGCCCAGTGCCCGACCCCCGACCGGTGGAGCTGGCGGAGCGGGACGGCGGCCCGCCGCAGCCAGTGTGGGTGCTGGAGCTGGCGTGCGGCGAGCAGCACACGCTGGCGCTGTCGGGCCAGCGCGAGGTCTGGGCCTGGGGCAGCGGCTGCCAGCTCGGCCTGCTCACCAGCGTCTTCCCCGTCTGGCGGCCGCAGAAGGTGGAGCACCTGGCCGGCCGGCATGTGCTGCAGGTGGCCTGCGGGGCCTTCCACAGCCTGGCGCTGGTGCAGTGCCTCCCCCCCGAAGCGGCCCGTCGCCCCCCACAGGACAAGTGCGGACAGTGCAACCAGCTCCTCTACACCATGACTGATAAGGAGGACCACGTGATCATCTCTGACAGCCACTATTGCCCTCTGGGGGTGGAGCTGGCTGACGCGAAACAGGGGGCCACCGTCCCGGAGCCCCCCGATTCTGGGCAGCTCTCGGCCCCGCCTCCCACTGCTCCTGCTGAGGACCCCCAGTCCATGGAGGAAGCCCCTAAACAGGCTGAGGAGGATGTAGAGGAAGAGGAGGTGGGGGACGGGAAGGCTGGGGAGGAACTCCAGGGTCCAGCGGAGGATGCTCCTGGGGGGGAGCTGCATGCCGCCCCTCCAACTGAGTCCCGCCACGCCCCGGCGAGCAGGAGCTCCCCCTACCCCGACGAACAGGCGGTGCAGGCATATCTAAAGAGGCTATCGGACCACGCCCTCGCTGAGCATGCTGGGAAGTCGGCCATTACCGTGCAGTGTGCCCAGGTCAGCCGTATGGCTCATTTATGGCTCATTTATACATTTATTTATATATTTTACTTCAATTCATCGATGAATCGCTCATTATAATAATTAATTATTAATCGGTTTTATGCTCATTTTTATTGAATTTGCGTTAATATTTTATTGCATGTATTTTAATATTCATCCATCTTCTCCATTCTTGCTCTAGTCAGGATTATGGGGAGCTTGGAGCTGATTTTAATATTAAACTTTAAAAGTTTTGTTTTATATGTACATTTGAACCCCTTCATTTTACTGTTGTGTTATTGTTTCAGCATGTTTTAGTGCAGCTTTAATTTTAATCCTGTAATCTCTGATTATCTGAAATGGCTTCTCTCTGTTTTCCCTGTTAGACTGTTAGTCCTTCTGGCTGCTGCCTTAGTCTGCTTGTCCTCCTTTGTCGTCAGATCTGACGCATCATCCTCCCACAACCCCTGTCACGCTCCCTCTGACGCACTCTCCCTCCTCCCTGAATCTTGTTCTCCTTCTCCTCTTGTTCCTCAGCAGCGCAAGGGTGACCCTGCCCCCCCAGACCTCACCTCCATGCCCCAGCCCACCACCACGGTAGGCTCGGCCCTGAACAGCCTGGTGGTGTCGTGTGCGTCCGCCGTGGGCGAGCGTGTGGCCTCCACTTATGAGGCGCTGTCACTTAAGAAGGTCATGGGCTATTACTACCCATCTGGGGTACCGGGGGGTGGTGGGCCGGGCTCCGGCGAGGGCGCCAAGGAGACGCGCGAGGAGCGCATGCGGATGGAGGAGTCCATGCAGGGGAAGAAGAGCTCCAGCCTGGGGGACATCCGTGAGGGGGAGGCCGAGGGCCTGAGTCGCCGCCTCTCACTCCCTGGGCTCCTCTCACAAGGTAGTGTGATCATCCCTGCTCTCTGTATGACCCTGAGTGATCATCCCTGCTCTCTGTATGACCCTGAGTGATCATCCCTGCTCTCTGTATGACCCTGAGTGATCATCCCTGCTCTCTGTATGACCCTGAGTGATCATCCCTGCTCTCTGTGTGACCCGGAGTGATCATCCCTGCTTGCTGTGTGGTTTTCAGTGATTGCTAAAATACATTTGTCATAATTAGAGGTTTGCTTTTATTTAAAGAAACTATTAGGACAGATCCTCTTGTGTGCAGTTTTTGAGTTTTATTTGACTTATGAATCATCGACTTAAAATAAGCAAACGCTTTTCTTCCCTGAGTGTGCATTCCTGTTCCTGCTCCGCAACATGTTCTCGTTTACAATATGACTCGTTGTTGAGAGATTATGATAAGCGGCTGGAGCAGAATCCACCCTCCTCATGAAGCTGATTTGCCTGGTGGGCTTCCAGATATGAGGAAGGAGGAATTCCACCGTTTAAAGTCCCAGAAAAATGAAGCTGTCTGACTTCACATGGGCATCTATGCAGATGCCTTAGAGGAGCAGCCAGCTTGCCCCGGGGGTCCCAGCTACCATTTGGATGGCACCCCCCAGCAGCAGACAGAGCACCTGGCTCCGGGTCCTTCTCTTTCAGCATAGTCGTCCTCACCTGTGCCCGTTCCTGGGTCACTTGGACTTGAGTCGTACCTACCACCTCTCCCCAGGCACAAAATGGTGGGGTGCACTTCATGGGTTGAGAGTGTCCTGACAGGAGGATCTTAAATGCCCCAGGATTGAGTTGAACAAACAAATTTTAACACAGGATTTCCTCTCTGGACAGCCGTTTGGTTCTGTGTCTGCGTGTCGTTCAGCTTTAAGGTTCAAAGTGCTTTTATTCTCACCTGACTGTCGCTTTAAGTCTCATCTGCTTTTTTTCCCTGTACAGGACCTTCTGTTTGACCTTTACCTGGTTTTGTAATCTAATTCATATTTCTGCGATCATCAGAAGGTAACCATGTCTCACATTTCCCATGTGTCTCTCCCTCTGGGTCAGTCTCCCCTCGCCTGCTCCGGAAGATGGGCCGGTCCCGGGTTCCGGCCATGGCTCTGACCCCCGCAGCCATCCCGGAGTCCGAGCAGCACCTCCCCTCCCTGCACACGGAGGTGTGGAGCTGGGGCCGTGGCAAGGAGGGCCAGTTGGGTCACGGGGACATCCTGCCCAGGTGAGGTCCCGTTGCGGGACTCCTAACCNCCCCCCCCCAGTGGCCCTGGAAGTGACGGCTCTGTCCTAAAATATTCAGTGAAAACACGAACATTCTCCACAAGTCCTGCTTGGAGGACATTTGTGCTTTTATGACAATATGGAGGTGCAGGTTGCCAGTAAGGCCTTAGTACGAATTTTTATCCGAGGTCATTTTAGGATTAAAAAATCTTAAACCAGAGTTTTAAAATATGTTAAATATTCCATCCATCCATCCATCCATTTTCTATAATCACTTGTCCTATTCAGGGTTCCAGGGGGTCTGAAACAACCCAGGATGGGGCACCAACCCATCACAGGGCACATTCACACACCACTCACTCACATATGCACACCTACGGGCAGTTTGGGAACTCCAGTCAGCCTCGGCATGTTTGTGGACTGTGGGGGGGGGGGGACCACACATGGAACCCTGGCAGAGACCTGAACCAGAGGTGTGAGGCGACAGCTCTAACCATTGCATCACTGTGCCCCCCCCCCATATTAAATATTCATAACTTTAAAATAAAACTGTCTTTACTGTGCATTTATTGCATATGAAATGAAAAGTGGCCCCCTAGTGGCCATACAATGAAACGTGGGATTAAAAAGTCCGTCCCCCCCCCAATCTGCAGGCTGCAGCCACTGTGCATCAAGAGTCTGGGGAGCAAGGAGGTGGTGCAGGTGGCTGCGGGGGCCCACCACTCATTGGCGCTGACCGCCCAGTCACAGGTATCCTCTCGTGGGTGGGGGTGGGGGGGGGCTGCATCTCAAGAGGGTGGGGTGCTGACCTCCCGTCTTTCTTTTGCAGGTTTATTCCTGGGGCTGCAACACCTCCGGGCAGCTGGGTCACATGGACTCTCCCAGCACCGTCCCCCGGCTGACCAAGGTGGGCGTCAGGCTGCCTGGTTCTGCTCTCCTCCCGCCGTGCCGCTTGGCTCGAAGCCACACCCGACAGGCCGCTGGGACCGGAGACGCTGATCCGCCATTAACCCCATTCTGTGTTCATTCGCTTACAAAATGTGTTACACATATTTTAAGAAAAAATCTGAATAGGATGGTGCAACGTAGCTGGGGAGCTGGGGCCGTGGCAAGGAGGCCCAGCTCCAACGTGGTGCAACGTAGCTGTCTGTCTGCTTGCTTGCTTGTTGTGTGTCAGTTATCATTCCAGTACACGGTGGACACCCCATGGCTGTGAGTGTGAGGTCTAGCATGAAGGGCTAGCATATCCGGCTAGGGAAGGGCTAGCATATCTGGCTAGGAAAGGGCTAGCATATCCGGCTAGGGAAGGGCTAGCATATCCGGCTAGGGAAGGGCTAGCATATCTGGCTAGGGAAGGGCTAGCATATCTGGCTAGGGAAGATGGCATTAGCCAGCCAGCGTTTCACTGATGTGTGTCAGTAAATGAACACATGTGCCGCGTTTGACTGTTTGTCCAATGCGGCCTCCCGCAGATGTCGGAGGGGATCCGGGTGTGGGACGTGGCCGCGGGGCAGCAGCATACGGTTCTCCTGGCTGACGGAGACTGCTTCCAGCCCATCCTCTACTACAGTGGGCGGCAGGTGCGGGAGGGGACGCCGGGCAGCCCCCAGGCTGAGAGCGGAGGCTACACCCAGCAGCCAGTCCTCCTGCCCTTCTGCATGAATGTAAGTTAATGTCGGCAGTTATAAGGTTGGTGCCTCTTGCCTGCTATCGGTAGTGAATTAGCATTAGCATTAGCCTCAGGTGCACCGACGGTACCTCTTCCTAAGTATCTGTTGTGAATTAGCATTAGCTTTAACTTCAGTGCATGAATGGCACCATGCTTCCATACTCCTCTCCTCTGCAGCTGGGCTACGTGAGCAGCGTGTTTGCCGGGGGACAGAGCTGTCTGGCTCTGGCAGACCAGAATGTGATGGGCTTCATCGCCAGCCTCCATGAGCTGGCTGCTGCTGAACGGAAGTTCTACTGCCGGCTGAGCAATGTGAAGGGCCAGATACTCCGCCCCCTGCTGGCCGTGGGTAAGAAGTACATCCTAAATGATCAACATTTGAGTCTCTACATCTAGCACAGCACCTTAACTTTAAATAGTTTTAGTAAATATGGATAAAATGGGTTATACTATGCGAACAGAAACCAAACGGCAGCAGGGCCCCGTGCCTGTTTTGAGGCTGACCCCCCCCCGTTTCCGTGTGCAGAGAGCCTGGCCGCCTCCCTAGGCTCCGCCTCCACGCCCCTCTTCCAGGCCCTGGCCGCTCACTTCAGCCGCCTGTGTCACCTGACGGGCCGCCACGCCACCTCGCTCACCGCCTTCCTGCGCTGCAGCTGCAACCGCGATGTGCGCGGCCTGGCCATGCTGGAGCACGCCGCCGTCTTTCTGGACGCCTACAAAGAGTAAGTACACTGTCCGGGCCCAGGTTCCGACTCGGTCAACTGAGCTTCTCACACCGGGCCTGCCGGTATCCTCCAGAGCAGCTAATCTATTAGCTGTGATGCTCTGTGCTCTACTTGGCCAGCGTGTGTGTGTGTGTGTGTGTGTGTGTGTGTGTAAAAGGGACACTTATAGGTTAGACCAGGGATCACCAACATGGTGCCCGCGGGCACCAGGATGCCCCCAAGGACCGCATGAGTTGCCCGCGGACCTGTTCTAAAAATAGCACAACTCACCAGTGAGCAGCGTCTAAAATTTAATTTTATTCTGTTGCTATTCTTCTTTAATCACATTTGCATTTATATGGATGACAATATCTTTAAAAAAGCATTTAAAACATGTTTATTATACTGAGCAAATTTGTTATTTAAGAAGAGTGCATCAAACTGGTAGCCCTTCGTATGGCTCAGATCCTGTGAAGTAGCTCTGAGTTTCAAAAAGGTTGGTGACCCTTGGGTTAGACTCTGCTGGTGAAAAAGTGTCCTTTATGTGAGCGACCGGAGCAGCCTGGATCTATGCCTAAGAAGTCTACCATCGACCGTATCCTTGCACTGAGGGTTCTCATCGAGCGCATGCGCGAATATCCACAGAGGCTCTTTGCAGCCTTTGTCGATTTTTGCTGAGGACCCAAGTGGCTAGAACAGGCAAAGGGGACGCCCACGTAACACCAGGCTCTGGCAGATGGATGGGCATTTCCAGAGGGTGGGGCTGGACCGTGTATCTGCCTGGGGGGTCGCCGGCTGAGATCCTGCTGTGTGGTGGGTGCGGCAACGCGCTGCATCAGCTCATGCTGCCCAACCTGACTGGACCTGATATTACATTAAACGGCTGCTTGCTAAATGATTCAGGGATATAAGAAGTTAATATTTAAATTATTAAACAATATTAAACGTTGGTCACTGTATAATTCATTTAAGTGGAGAAGTAACAAGAAAACCAACATCCTTTTCACCAACAAATTTTTGTCTAAGGGAAACTAGGTAACCCTTGACTTAATTGGATGGTCATAGCTCATTAATCGGGATTTGAGCCTCTGTGAGTGTGTCCTGTGATGGACTCTGCGGGGCGAATCCAAGCCTTGTGCCCTGTGCCAGTGTTTCCCAAACCCACTCTTCAGGGATCCCAGACAGTCCACATTTTTGCTTCTTCCCAGCTCCCAGCACACCTGTAATAAACAATCAAGGAGATTCTTCTGCATACCTTAATTTAAGCTTGTGGGAGTTACACAAAAATGTTCAGAGGGCAGAACAAAAAATGATTTGTTTACCAATGAGATTATAGAGTAGGTAGGTCCAAACAACTGGGACCAAGACACCTGATTGGTTGCTCCCGCCTTCTCTGCTACCTGATTGGTTATCTCTCTGAACCAATAATTTTTCTTTCTGCCTTCAGAACATTTTATTCTCCCACTGAACTAAGCTAAACTGCCTCCTAGTTGCCATAGTGGAATTGTGGGTGTCCAATACCATGACGTTCCTGAAACGGTTTCATGTTCTACAGGTACTGCAGCTCGGTGGGGAACTTCCTGGTGATGGGTGGCTTCCAGGCGCTGCTGAAGCCATCAGTGTGAGTCCCCCACCCCCTCGTCCCTGGCATTTCTACCCTATTAGTGAGCATAACCTGGTCCCTTCCTTCTACTCTGTGGTCGCCAGGGAGGCCTTTGGGAAAGGTTTGGAGGCCCTGCAGCGGCTAGCGGAGTCGGGCGAGGAGAGCTCTCCCCCAAATGACCTCTTGGTGACGCTATTCTACATGCCCATGCGACACCTGCACGAATACGGTCGGCTTCTTCTGAAGCTAGCCACCTGCTTCGAGGTGGTGCGTATGCAAGGAGCTGGGGTCTCTGCCGGGGTCCTCATCACGGTGCATAGTTTGTTCGAATGCAGCTCAATGTATATGCAAGACGTTCAGACACACACAGCACTGTCCGTCTGTAGAGAGACGTAGGAACGTGGCGACGTGTAAAAAGCTGACTGTAATAATGTGCCATGTCCTCGTCTGCGGACAGTGTCTCCTTCGCCGTCTCGAGACCTCTCTGAACACCTTGCTGTCTTTCCCAGAGTTCCCTGGAGTACCAGAAGCTCCAAGACGGCTGCTCCAAGTATGAGGCGCTGGCTCTTCACCTGAAGAGGAAACGGAAAGAGGCAGAATACACCTGCCACTTCTGGAAGAGTTTCCCTGGAAAGATGACCGTAAGGCCCGCCCTGCTTCTGATCTGTGATTGGCTGTGCGCGTTCCTGGTTGGAACCGTCTTATAGGTGTTGGCTGGCATTCCAGTTTCCACACCCTCTGCATAGCGTTTGGTACGCTATGGTGATATGCCTGCTGATCATACCACTGTGGTATTCCCCCGCCCCCCCTCCCCCGTCGCAGGATTCCCTGCGGAAGCCGACGCGCCGGCTGGTTTGCGAGAGCAGCAACAAGGCCCTGACGCTGCAGAACGCTGGCCGGTTCTCCGTCAACTGGTTTATCCTTTTTAACGACGCGCTGGTGCACGCTCAGGTGAGAGAGACTCGAGGGGGTGCTGTGAAAGCAGAACTGGAACCGGGGGGTGGGGGGATGGGGACCAGGAAGTACAGATGATTTTTTTTTTTTTGTCTGTGTGGCTTGCAGCTTCTGATGCTCTCCGCTGCAGCTGTATGACTTCTGTTCTTTGCTCTGTCAGGGCGTCCAACCCTATAAGAACCTTGTAAGTATGGAGCAGCTTCTGGATCTGGCCTGTCTCCCCGGCGCAGTGTCCCCTGTGTGTTCAGGGCTTGGTTTGGGAAGTAGGCCTCCGGCTGGTATTCCCCCTTCTCTCTGTTAAGTTTGAATGCATTTTATTAATACATTACAAAGCCCTTCGGCTGTCCTGAAATGTGCCTGCAGGAAAATGGTGTTAAATAAAGATAGTCAAGTGCCCCGTAAACTGTCAGTAAGGCCGATCAGGCCGTTGCTCAGTGGAGATGCGTTGCGTGAAGGACCCATCCCTGCCTTTCTGTGTGATCTGGCTCTGTTCCGGTCCCTCTATAACTGGCCCCTGAAGCGACAGCCTGGGCCCAGGACCTCCCAAGCCAAGCCTTGTTCCATGCTGCCCTGCTAGTGTGTGGATTGACGTGTAACATCCGACGGTAACAGCCAAGGCCCCGCCCTACTCCCCTCCCCTCCCTGCAGTGTTCTGTTCTGTGTCCCAGGACCAATAACATCAGCTTAAAATCTCACACATTCTGTAGACTAAACTTCACAATGATATTTTTTTCCTACTCGTACTAAGATAGCAGAGGTTCATAATTCACAGGTCCAACAGCCAGTCTGTCGGATGCGGCCGTCCTGTGGGTAGTGGCACCGCGCCGATAGGTCCTGCTAGCCCGATCCCGCCATTCTGATGTGGAGCCCCGCCCTCAGTGGGGGTGGGGTAGGGAGGGGCTCTCACATCGGCCCTAGCATCTGTGGCCACCGTTTACCCGCAGCCTGTAGCGCTTAGCATTTGGCCATCTGTGCCAAGGTGGACCAGAGCAGGCAAATCCTCCATCTGGTTTAGGGCAGCCTGACAGCTGGGGGGTGGCGCGTCACTCCGGAGGGGGTGCATACTGGTCCTCATCCCCACATGCTAGCGAGAGGGTGCTGATGGGATTTATGCATTATTTCAGAAAATGGGGAATCCTTGTGGGGGGGGGGATTCGTGTGAAATGGATGCTGGATGGTAGATTTGTGTGTTTTGTTGTGTGATGGAGTCCCAGTGTGTGTGTACTCTCCCTCTCCAGCCTTGGTTATTACTGGGAGGGGGGCGAGTAACAGAGACGCCAGGTGACCTCCAGGGACAGCGCTGAGATGGCCGTCCCTAGCTGACTTCACTTCCTGTCCCTTTTTGTCTTTCTGTTTCTTCTGCACTCTTTCTCCGCAGAATTGTCCCTCTGTCACTCTCACTACCTCATAGAGGCCCGACTTTGGGTGCCCTGTGGACTGAACCCTTTAGCCTCTCTCTCTCTCTCTCTCTCTCTCTCTCTTTCTCTCTCTCTCTTTATTTCCCCTTCTCTAGATTCTAGTCATGCTCCAGTTTAGCTTGCGTAAGAGTGTGCGAGTGTGTGTACTGCATGCATATGGGTGGTTGTGTTGAAATGTAGGTGAGGTTACCATGCTATCAGAGGGTTAACCCACCGGCCTGGCGGTGTTCATGCTTCCTGTATGAATTCTCAGGTTTTCACCTGCATTTGTGTGTATTTGTACTTGTTTTTGCTTCATGGCATCAGTTGGTCCTTGTGCTGCTCAGAGATTTTCCTTCTGTGGTGCCGGGGACACAGTCATTCATTCACACAGTGTGTTTTAAAGGCCCATTTTTTGGGGGGGGGGGGGCTGGTTTGTTTCAGGTTCTTCCCCTCCTTTTTGGAAATGTGCTCTGCCTTAACATTTGACAGCTGTCGTTCTGGGTTATGAGCCGGCGGCAAGCACCATAGCCCTGTGTGGCCAGCAGGGCGGCGCACTTCTAGAACAAGCTGTTGTGACTTGAGGGGGCGGGGGAGTGTGGGCAGCAGCGCAGGCGGCCATCTGCTCATCGGGGATGCGAGAGCCAGAGATTTCGGCATCGCGTATGTCCTGCGGCGGAGGGAGCGGCCGACAATGCGGCAATGCTGTTTGTCCTGGAGCTATTTAAATTACCACTGTTAGCCTGTTAGCAGTGGTGCTGTAAAGAGACTGTGTTCCTCATCCGGCTAAATGGCATGGGACTGTTCTGCTCTTTTTGTGTGTGAATGATGCCTGAGTGGAAGTGTGTGATGACATCATCATTCCCTGTTTATTCCCTGGACAAAGTGCACGAATTTGACCCCACCTGTCAACAGTCTGCTACCATAGCAACCTGGTGACCAACCACATGCCAAGGCTCAGTGCAGACCCCCCCCCCTTAAACCATGCCCCACTTTTACACTGGCAGTAGGGGGAAACATCTGGCCATGATGTCCTTCTCTGTCTCCCATCCAGTTTTCCACTCACCATGTCTTCCCCCTGGCCACGCTGTGGGTGGAGCCTATCTCGGAGGAAAACAGCAACCTGTGAGTCATGCGACCGGCCCACCAATCAGATCACAGATGCAGCTGTCGGCTGCAATTCTGATGCTAGCCAAACATGCTAAGAACTGTAATGCACCTCTTGGTCCATTGTCAGGTACGGGCTGAAGGTGACCTCACCTGAGGAGACATTCACGCTCCTGTCCTCCTCCCCCATGGAGAAGGTACGCAGTAATCACTGGTCATGAACACTTAGTGTGAGGCTACGGCTGGATCGAGAAGATGCGCGTAGAGGAGGTTTACTTGGCAGCTCTGAATGTGCCCCCCTCCCCATCCCCCCAGGCCAAGTGGCTGCGAGCCATTAACCAGGCGGTGGACCAGGCCCTGGGCGGGGCCGCCGCCGAGGTCGGCGTCTTGGGTTCGAGCACCGTACAGCGGCCGGAGCCGCCCATATCACGCACAGCCTCCTATACCTTCTACAAGGACAGCCGGCTGAAGGAGGCGATCTATGAGGGCCGCTGGCTGGCCGGGAAGCCCCACGGAAGGTGGGTGGGTGGGGGGGTTGGGGGGGCCCGCAGGCTGGGGGCTGTTTCTGACGCTAATGTTACCATCGCTAATGCTAACATTTATAACTGACCTGGAACTTGACGGAGCATAACTGGGTGCTGCACCGGCCTCACACCTCTAGGGGGCATGCTTCTGTGTGTGTAGCATCTGCATGTTTTTCTCTGGAGAAGTGCGGCCTTCTGGGATGAATTATAATTGGCTTTTACCTATACTGGACTTCCGTGTCTGTCTTCCCGGCCAGGGGTCTGCTGAAGTGGCCAGACGACCGGACCTACACCGGCACCTTCAAGAACGGATTGGAGGATGGGTCAGTAGGACCCCGCAAGCCGGGGAGGAGGGTGTCTCTGCTGTGGGGGTGACCTTTGCCCTTTCTGTGTGATTGGAAATCTGCAGGTTTGGGGATTATGTGGTTCCCAACAAGAACCTGAACAAGAATGATCAGTACCAGGGCCACTGGAAGGAGGGCCGGATGCACGGATTCGGGGTGTACAGGTGAGTTCCTGCCCCAGTGCCCTCTGCCTCTGTCTTTCGGGGATTATCAGCGTCCTGCCGTTCGTCTGGGGCTTCCCCCGTAACACTGCACCTCCTGAATGGGGCTGTGGGGTTAGGGTTAGGGTTAGGGTTAGGGCCTTCTTTGCCAGCTGTGTGATCTGTGTCCCTCAGCCGCCCTTAATCAACTTAATTAGAAAGGTTAGGCCTCCCATTGAAGTAAAGGTCAGTGGTGTGTGTGTGTGTGTGTGTGTGTGTGCATATGTGTGTGTGTTTGTACATTTTTGTAATTATTACATTGTGGGGACTAGATGTCACCACAACATGATAAAAACCTGTTATTTTCACATTATGGTCCCCACAAAGATCTGTGAATGCAATAAAAAAACTAAAAATCTTGTGGTTAAGGTTAGGGCTGGGTAGGGGTTAGGGTCGTCGTGTTGGGATTAGGGTTTGTCCCATAGAACTACATGGACAGTCCCCCAAAGATCTGAATACAAACGTGTGTGTGTTTGTGTGCGCGTGTGTGCCCCCGCCCCCCCCAGGTATGCCACGGGCGAGGTGTACGAGGGCTCCTTCCAGGACCACATGCGACACGGCCATGGGATGCTGCGCAGCGGGAAGCTGAACTCTTCCTCACCCAGCGTCTTCATCGGCCAGTGGGTCCAGGACAAGAAGACGGGCTACGGGGTCTTCGACGACATCACCAGGTGGCGCCCTGCTCGCACCCGTGGCCGGCGTGACCTCGGCTCTCCAGCTGCATTTCAGAGGGGTCACGTTTTCATCTCTTGTTTCAGCTGTAGTTTCAAACCAAATTGGCTTTTTTCAGTCAGGTGACATACAGGTGACATACAGGTGACATACGGGTGAGGCAGGTAATATATCAGAAGCATGTAGCTGTCAGATGCCAGCTTAGGTGCCCATGCTGCCAGGTTCAGCTTCCAGTGAGGGACTGGTAAGGTAATACTGGAACTCGATCAATACCAGTGGTCACCAACTGGCTGCATTCAGACTGAAATACAATTCAGTCTAGACTGCGTCATTGATTTTTGCAAAAAACTTGTACTGTCTGTGGGTCCCCAGGGACCAGATTGGGAAAGACTGCCCTAGACAAACTGCCTCACCACGGTGTGTGTGTGCAGTGTGTGTGCAGTGTGTGTACAGTGCGTGTGCAGTGCGTGTGACTGTGTATCTGCAGTGTGTCGCTGATTAGCCGGCCCTATGCACAGCTTGTTTCCACCTGTCATCGCTCTGCTTGCTGTGTGTACCCGAGCCGTTCGGTTTGACAAGCCCCCCGGTGCCCCTTTTCTCAGGGGGGAGAAGTTCATGGGCATGTGGCAGGACGACCAGCGGCAGGGAAACGGCCTCGTCGTCACCCAGTTCGGCCTGTACTACGAGGGCACCTTCGCCAGCAACAAGATGAGCGTGAGCGTTCTTTAGCACCACGCCCGGCCCCCGGTGTTCAGCACCACGGTGTTCATCTCTCCTGAATAATAACCAGCTCTCTTCTGCCCCCTGCAGGGCACAGGGACGCTGCTGTCAGAGGACGATACTACGTTTCAGGGAGAGTTTTCCGAGGACTGGACGCTGAACGGGAAGGTGAGGCTGCGGGAGTGACCTGAACAAATGTGTCTGGGTTGGCATTTTCAGGTCTCAGCACCTTTATACCCACCAGGGCACGCTGACCATGCCCAATGGCGACTACTTTGAGGGCACCTTCAACGGGGAGTGGGGCACAGGGCTGAAGGTGACGGGGACCTACTACAAACCAAACCTGTACGACGGGGACAAGGACAAGAGCAGGGCCATGTGAGTGTGTGTGTGTGTGTGTCTGTGTGGGGGGTCCAGGTATACCTTACCTTATGGGGACCAAATGTCCCCACAACGTGATGAATACCCATTCTTTTTTTTTTACATATGGGAAAACTCTGTTTTATAAAAATCTGTGACTGCAATGAAAAAACTAAAAATGCAAAAACTCCTGTCTTTTGTTTGGTTACTTATGGGCTGGGTAGGGGTTAAGGTTGTCATAGTTAGCATTAGCATTTTTCCCATAGAAATGAATGAGCGGTCCACAAAAAGATATGATTACACGACTGTGTGTGTCTGTGTGTGTGTGTGTGTGTGCGCAGCAAGCTGGGCAGCATGGCCGTGCGGCCAGAGGAGAAGTGGTGCGCCGTGTTCGAGGAGTGCTGGACCCGGCTGGGCTGTGACGCTCCAGGCCGGGGGGAGAACTCTAAGGCCTGGGAGAACATCGCCGTCGCCCTGACAACCAGCCGCCGGCAGCACAAAGACAGGTATTTACACAGCTGGAGCATGTGCACGCACACGTACACACACACACACACACACACACACACTGTACGACTCATACAGACACACACACAGACACATAGAGATACATACAGCCACACATGCACTCTCACTCTGATACCCCCCCCCCATGTCCAGCCCTGAGCTCCTAAGTCGGTCCCACAACAAGACCCTGGAGAGCCTGGAGTTCATCCCCCAGCATGTGGGCCCCCTCACCTTGGTGAAGTACAACAGCGTCCAGCGTTACCTCATCAAGGTGGGCTCACCGTCGGACAAGAGGCCTGCTGTGCAGAAGGCCTCCCACCACCGAGTCGCTCATAGTCATTACACTCCCACCACACAGGCCTGCGACACTCCCCTGCACCCGCTGGGCCGGCTGATCGAGACGCTGGTGGCCGTCTACAGGATGACATACGTGGGTGTGGGGGCCAACCGCCGGCTCCTGCAGCAGGCCGTCGGCGAAATCAAGTCCTACCTGAGCCGCATCTTTCAGCTTGTCAGGTGGGCGCTGGCGCTGCATTGTGGGAGTCGTAGTGTTCTGAAGGTTCTGTGTCTGAAGGTACGGGTCGTGCTCCATGTTCACGTCTTTGTCTCAGGTTCCTGTTCCCAGACCTGCCAGAGGAAGGCGCTGTGATCCCAGGACCCGCTTCTGAGTCTCCAGAGAAACGGGTTCTCAGCTCCCCAAATGAGGCACCACAGCTGGAGTCCCCACAGCCTGGGTATGGCCATACCACCCTCTGCAATCCCATTGGCTCTTGATCTAGCCAGAGGCGGGACCTAGTCACACACTGTTATTAATGGTTTGTGAATGTTATCAGGGCTGAACACAGAACAGTCAACTGACTGTTCACCACCTGCAGTGAAGGAGACTCGTACAGGTTAAGCAGTCCTGGGACTTGAACCTGCACCCCTGTGGTGTGCTTATGTGTGTTTGGTCTGACTCCGTGGCCCTCATCCCGCAGACGTGTGGTGAGCAGCTCCGCCTTGCTTTTGCCCGTGCTGCTGCCGCGCCTCTATCCGCCGCTGTTCACGCTGTACGCGCTGGAGAAAGAGCGCGAGGAGGACGTGTACTGGGAGTGTGTGCTGCGGCTCAACAAGCAGCCCGACCTGGCCCTGCTGGCCTTTCTGGGGGTGCAGCGGTGAGAGACGGACGGGGCGGCATGGAGGCACACACACACACACACACACACACACACACACACACACACACACATATACAGACAGACCGACACACAGACGTTTATTCACCTTTCAACTTGTATTCATCTTTGTGCGGAATGTCCATTCATTTCTATGGGCAAAACCCTAATCCCAACAATGACAACCTCTCATGGTGTGGACATTTGGTCCACACAATTTAATATATACATAACCCACACACACACACACACACACCATATACACACAGACTCATGCCATATACTGTCTGACTCTCACTCTGACCCCTGCTGGATAGATCTTGTAACGTCTCTTCTCTACATTTGTAATATTTTTTTTACTCCTTTTAGGAAGTTTTGGCCTGTGTCTATCTCAGTGCTTGGTGAAAAATTTGAGGTAACCTCTCCATTCACATCCACAACCTCTCATTTTCACCCCTGTTGCCTTCTGCCCTCTTTTCGCCTCTCCCTACTCTCTCTATTTCACCCTCTCCATCCTGTCCTCTCTTTTTCTTCTGAGTGTTCATTCCATATCCTTCCTTTTAGTAATAATGTCATTGATGTTGACTTGTCTCATATTGATGACCTCACACTGGTTGACTTCATGAAGCACTGCTTTCTTACTAAGAGCTCAGCGAACGCTTTCAGCCCAAGGCTCTTCTCTAATCCATCCAGGTTCTCCCAAACACCAAGGACGCCTGCTTCGCTTCCGCTGTCGAGACTCTTCAGCAGATCAGGTACCATCTCCCAGCTTTTGCATCTGGCATCTGCCCTAGTCTCCTGCCGTCTGCTTTTTCGAACATCACCATTTATATTCCAGCACGACGTTCACACCCTCGGACAAGCTCCAGGTGATCCAGCAGACCTTCGAGGAGATCACTCAGGAGGTGCTGGCACTGCTAAAGGAAGACTTCCTGTGGTCTATGGATGACCTCTTCCCCGTCTTCCTCTATGTGGTTCTGCGTGCTCGGTACGTCCTTCGAACCTACTAGCTCAGGATCATGGGTTGACGATCACCTACTGCGATATGGAGACGTATCACTCACTGACAGAATTGTATGACCTTTGACCCCAGAATTAGGAACCTAGGTTCTGAGGTCAGTCTGATCGAGGACCTGATGGACCCTTGTGTACAGCATGGAGAGCACGGCATCATGTTCACTACCCTTAAGGTATGGGGGTGGGGTCACTGACCATTCATGAGCCAATCAGAACGTGCAAGAGTCCTGTCTGCCAATCACAGCAACTCAGACACTTCCACCCCTAAACATTGAATTATTGACTATTTTAAGCCATTATTATTTATATATTTATCAATATATTCTGTATTGGATCAATATACCAACCCTCATGGACCTACAAGACATTAAGAATTAATTATATATTTTCATAATCATTTTTGGCTCTCTCACTCCCCCTGCAGGCCTGCTACTATCAAATCCAACATGAGAAGATCACGTAGAGGAGGTCCCCGTGTGACTGGCGCGCTCTGTGCTCTGCGTGCTGCTACAGGGAACCAGATCCAGCATGGTGATGGTCTGATGGGTGGTCTGGGTAGATTTGGCACTAGCTGACGGAGAAGCTGAGGGAAAAAACCAGCAGTGTGTCTGTCAGGAGCTACGCAAGTCAGAACAAGCGCTGGTCCTCTCCACCTCCTGCCCCCGAGCTGAAGGCCCCCCCCCCCTGAACGGGGAGCCCCCTTCTTTGGCCCTCCTAAACCTGACACCCCTGCCACCCTCATCACGTCGAATCCCATCTCGCCTACCACTCAGAGAGAGTACTGGACCCTCATGTTTGGCTTTCTACTGTGGCTGTTCAGTTTTGGATGGTGCTGTGGTGATAAAGGAGGGGGGCGGTGACATCATCACTGCTGGGGAGCCCGAACGTGAGCCGGTCCCATCACCTCTATGCACATGTCGAACTTAGTTTGCACTGTTAGGAAGCACAGGCGGATCCTTGTGGGGGGGTCTGCCATCCACAACACATCCAGCACCTGTCTGCCAGGATTTTATTCAAAAGGCTCCACTCTTACAAAGGATACGGGTCGCAGCACTGAGAATCTCTTCTTTTTGTTTCATTTTTTATTAAATACACATTGCAGGTGTTCTTAGACGCATAGAAAAACAGTTGAAATTGTCACGAGTGTCCAAGGAGCTACTAACTTAGATAGAGAGATGCTACCAGAGGACATTGTAGGTATAGACAGGAAGTTTAAGTATTTGATATAAAGCAGTGTTTCCCAGTCCAGTCCTCAGGGACGGGTTGGGAAACACTGAAATAAGGTACTGAGTATAGATCTGCGTAAACAGACTTGCTTGGTCAGTATGTCGAGCAGAAAAGAGCCAGATCTTGAGGCTCTTTCATATATTCAAGTGATTTTAAGCTTGTTATTCTAATCAGACTCATCCTCCACAACCCAAATTAAGAACTTTCTTAAAACTTCTACATATGAAGCTGCCCCGAACACGTCTGTCCTTTTCCCTTCCTGTGCTGGGGGGGACATTTATCTGACCTTGATATTCATACATACTGTATTTGTGCTGAAAACTGACAACTTGGGGTTAGGGTATGTTGGGCTGTACCTGGGAAATGACCTTGTAATCGGCAAAAATTTTATCTGTATTTTGACTTTTATTACCATGCAAAGCCATCCAGTTTTGGGGGACGTTTGAGTTACTTTAAGTGCCTGCAGATACAGCGGCCGGGACCGTTTTGGGTGATGATGACATCGTCGCTCCGGTACTGCATACACGGTGCATGATGAATGTCTTCGTGGCTCAGGCAGTGGACAGACGATCACATGAATGCGGCACCTGTTCGAAGAACCAGATAATGAACTTTTATTTACGTTCCAGATCCAGACGAACAAAATGCGCATAGTATTTATTGACTCTTTCATGAGCATTTTTCAAAAACACGCCACACCATAAGAGCCAGCAGATCATCCATTACACAACACATGAACCATCTAGTATTGCACTGATAACCCTCTGAGTTTTGATGAAAGCCAGGCTAAGGATGGAGGCCTGCTTTTAACGAAGGTTTTTTGAGGAACATCTTGTTACTGAACATGAGTATAAACTTAATTCATTTTTATTGCTCCTGTATTCTAACATTTTGAGAATGGACTGTATTTGTGTCACATCAGAACTTCTTCAGTAATGTGGCTGATGGCTATTCCCCGAATCTGCTAGTCATGCACTGGATTGTAATGATCATAATGAGCACAGGAAAGGTGAAACGGACCATTTTGGGCTAGACTGTGTAACCTGACGCTTACATAGATGGATTCATGCAAACATTCGATAGGGGAGGGGGGGAGGGGTTGAATTCCTCTGCTAAGGGTGATGAAGACCAAAAATGAGCAGATGTAAGATGCTGGCATTGACCATTTTAAGTCTGTTTGGCAGGGTCATAATAAAACTCTCCTTTTCCCCCCTTTTCCCGTCAGTATGTTTATTTTCATTAAATCCTGGAGTTGACCTCCATCCACCCTCTTGATGAAGTTGCTCACATTCATGCTGTTTTTGCCAAATTCCCGTTTACAGCGTGTACACTGGGATCTCGCCTGGCGTCCCTCGACAGTGTCCTGTTACAGCTTCAGCACCAGGTCCATACTTTGAGTGTTTGTTGAATGTTTGATCTTCCCGTCAGGAATTTTTTTCTTTTTCAATGAAGTACATGTTTCCTGTATATATAAAATAGGAAGTCAACTAAACTATCGTAATGTGAACAAAGCAATAAAATGAAACGGTAGATAAATGAAGTCCCTGTGTTTTATTAATTACATTTGCTTAAAAACGTCTTAAAAGTACGCTCAATGCTTTGACGTTTATCGAGTTTATGCCGTGGTAGTTGCATTATTAAACCTGGCATATCCCATGCCCTGCCCATGCCCTGCTCCCTCTCGATCAAAATCTAAAAGAAGAAGGCGTTAATGAGCTTTGAGGAGAGACACTGACGTGGGATTATTTGGGATAGAGCAGAGATTACGGACCTCGTCCCTTCAGGTGGCTTATGGTGAACACCACGATCGATGCAGTGAAACCCACGAGAGGCAAACACGGCGTCTACGGGGCAAGGATGACGGGGTAAGACAAGGCTGGTCTCCTTGGCAGTCCTGGCATGGTCGAAAAATCTCTCAAGGTGAGGACCTTTTTCTTCTGGATTATCTGTTCACCCCCCCCAAACAATTATAGCAGGTACTTTAATCCCTGTCATGGTAAATGTTAAGATAAGTGAAGAAACAGGAGGGTGACCATGTGCAGCAGACTGGTTTATCTTGATGGTAATTTCCATCCAAACACGGGTGTATGAGTAGGGTCTGAAATTTACCTGGCTGGACAAAGGAAACGGTAGAAATATTCTGGTATGTTCATTTCCTGCTGAACTACTAATTAATATCCTGAAAATCTGCTCAATAATGGGAGACTAACTATAGGCCTGTCATTCACATAAAAATGTATAATGTCAAAAATAAGCTCAATAAATAGATTTTCAGATCTGGTTATTGTTTTGTCCAAAAAAGTTTGATGTGAATTTTCAATTTCTCTAGCATAACACAGACCAGTCAGCAAAAGTAATTATCTTAATTAGTGTTTTAAATCATCAGGAGAAATACTCAAAATTACATTGAGATTTATTCATTCTTCAATTTTGCGTTATGATAGTTGTCTACCTTTAGATTTCCTTTACAAAATGCACGTAGTAGACAGCATTGAAATAAAATTTGAATGCATAGGCGATTTTGCAAGGGGTACATTTGCGCCCCCTGCTGTTGGAATGGAAACAATCGCCAGAATTTATGCCTTTTTATTTTTTTATCTGCACCCCGTTTGAAAAGTGTACAATTTCCACTAAAATGTTAGGGGCAGGGTACAGTAATGTCCTTGACTTCATTTTCCTTGTAAAATTCCAATCCTCCTTTAAGTCCATGAAGCCGTACACTGTAGCTGAGTCAGCTGTGCCGGGAGAGAGGCACCCATTGCATACAAACTATGTTGTGGTATTTAATAGAAACACAATCTCTGTTCCGGATCATACCAGTGGTGTTCAGAGGGGTTGAGGTCAAGGCTCTGTGAGGGCCAGTCAAGTTCTTCCACACCAAACTCACCCAACCTTGCCTTAATGGACCTTGCTTTGCGCACTGGGGCAAGATCATGCTGGAACAGAAACGGGCCTTCCTCAAACTTCCTACAAAGTTGGAAGCATAGAATTGTCGGACATGTCTTAGTATAGTGAAGCATGAAGAGCTTTTCCCTTTTCTGTTGTTCCTAAATGCTTCCACTTTGCAATAATACCCTTTACAGTTCACCATGGAATATATAGGAGGGAAGAAATTTCACGAGCTGACTTACTGCAAAGGTGGCATCCTCTGACCATAACTCACTGAGCTTTTCAGAAGGAATGTTTGTAATCCTGACAGCATGGCTGGTGCTTGAGTTTACAAACCAGTGCCAGTGGGTCTGAATGAAACACCTGGATTCAATGATTAAGTGATGTATCCCTATACTTTTGTCCAATTATTATTATTATTATTATTATTATTATTATTATTATTATTTGCTTAAAAGGCATGTAACTAAAGATACATACTTTTAAATAACAATAAATTAGGAGTTTTAATTAAGTGAACTTTAAACATTCTAATATATAAATAATTGGAATGTACTTTGATTGGTCAGTTTTTACCACATGAAGTTACTCGGTAAGTGAACTAAGCTGTACTACAGTTTTCGCCCATAAGAACACAGGGCGGCGCCCCTGAAGATCATGGGTGCGGATCCTGCGTCCTGCAGGCCTGACTCAGATCCTGACTGCGATGCTGTGTGAGATGGAGACCTTCATCAGGAGGAGTATCAGAGGAGCTGACCTCCAGCCCAGCCTGCTTAATGCCCCCCGCCTGCAGTCCCTGCTGAAGGTCAGCGGTCTGCAGATCCACTAATTTGTTCCTTCATATTTGTTGGTACTTTGTGACCAGATATGTGTATTAGAACCCCCCAGCAGAGCACTGTACCGTAGAGACCCGCAGAACGGTGATAATTTGAAGGGGCTGCGGTAAGAGTGGTATTCCGGAACATTACAGCTGTGATCCCTTAATCAAAATAGAATCAGATGATTTAAAAATCTATCTGTTCAGCTTGATTATTGCACTCTTCTCCAAAGCTGAAGGTCTAATACTGAGTTCCATTTGAACTTGTAATTGCAAATTCTGAGCTCCTAGTCCTTAATGTCAATTGGGACACCCCCTGAAGTCAGAATTCCTACTCGGAAAGTCGGAGGAATCTACACAATCCTGACCTCAGAATTCAAGATGGCTGCGACCTTCATCAACAGAGGCTAAAGCTGTAGTTATATACTGTTTATTAGTAGTTAAGTCCTATAGGTGTCTCATTAAATCGGTCGTACACACAGTACTGTCCAGCCTCTATCTGTGGACGTGTTGCTACAGTGTTTTTAGGTGCGCAATACTGCACAATGTGTTGTTACCAGCTGATATTGCTAACAAGGGCTATCAATGAACCAGACTAGAACTGAGGCCTGATTCAGAAACAGGAGTTCTTGCTTAGCCAGATAACTTGTCAGATTTAAGGTAGCCTCGACTAAATGTAAGTGAACGAAGATAAAGGCCATTTAAACTGGGTTACCTTAAATCTGACAAGTTATCCGGCTAAGCAAGGAATCCTGCTTTTTGAAACAGGTCCCTGGTATTGCTAAATGGCTTCCCGACTTGTTGAACTGGAACTCGGTTAACACGGATAGCGATGTGATTCCCAGCACCGACTTCCCACCCTCAAGGTTAATGGTATACAGCATTAAAATAACAGAGACAGACCAATGACGGTGTGCTCCTTCCCCAGGCGTATGAGGTCCTTCAGCAGCACACGAGGAGCAGCCCAGCGCCACAGCTGCTCCATGCCTCCACACTCTCCCAGCAGGTGGGCGTGAGCACACCGACCTCCCGGGAGGCCCGGTTAGGGATCACGTCCCATTTCTCGCCCGTGCCAGTGGACCTTGGCCACCTGTGTTTTTTTTTATCAGAGGTGGACATTTCAGGTCCAGAAAGTAAAAATCCAGACCAGGATTTTGTTTCAACCAACCAGCTGAGTGTAATGAGTCATAGTCACAGAGTACTCAACTGGTTGGTTGAAAATAAATCTTGGTCTGGATTTTTACTTTTTGGACCTGAAATGTCTACCTCTAGTATTTTTCTTATTTTATTATTATTTATCATTTTATTTTTTACTAGACTTTATGTGCCTCTTCCTTACCTTTCCATCCTCCACACTGGCAATGCTCAGTTGAATTTAGTAGCGTAAGATCCCCCCCCCCCGTGTCAGAATAGCCTCCAGCTGAAGCTTTTGGCCAGGTGACACTTGATGGGTCCTGTTCCAGATGATCACAGACCTTCGAGGCCTGACAGCGCCCTCTTCTGATGCTAAGGAGCTCTGCGGCCTGCTGGGTGGCCCCGGTCTACAGGTGGGCGACATGGTCCGTGTCGGGATCGTAGGATGAACAGTGCATCTGCCTGGCACCCATCGCCTTCATTCCTCCCCCCTCCAGGCACTACTGTTCTCCCACGACGTGGTGGCCCAGAAGAAGTATGCCCCAGTGCTGCCACCAGTGCCCGATGACCTGCCCACCGACGAAGAGGCCGTGAGGATCGTACGCATGGTCAAGAACAACCAGCCCTTGGTGAGAATGACGCCTCAGTCCCCGATACAGGCGCGTCCTTGACCTGTGCCGGTGTTATAGCACGTTTATGGGATGTCCACGCACCTTATTCCGTACATCAGTGTTTCCCAACCCAGTTCTAGGGACCCCCAGACAGTCCATAGCTTTGCATCCTCCCAGCTCCCGACACGCCTGGTATTCGGTGTTCATGTTTGATTGGCTCCGGTGTGTTGAGAGCAGGGAATGAGCAAAAATGTGGACGATCTGGTGTCCCTGACGACAGGCTTGGAAAACACTGCTCTACATGAAGAAAACTTTCCAAAACCAAACACTTCTCAGTATGTTCTACATAATCTTGGCATATGCTTCTGTTTGCTAATTGATTTCTCTGTTATTTATTTGTACACAAACCTATTTGTAGTAATATTCGGTCAGATGCCACGCCCGTAAACAGGCCACGGCTTCCTACATCGAAGACACACCCCTTTGCAAGAATTCCTTTTTTTTTAATCTGAAGGGGGCGACGATAAGGAGGGATGAGGTGACAGGAGAGATCTTCGTGGCCAGGGTGATCCACGGAGGACTCGCCAGTCGAAGCGGTTGGTTGTTCGCGCTACATGTAACATTTCTCTACATGCGCTACATGTAACATTTCTCCCTGTAGGATGGGGCTCCTGGTTGTGTGTCTGTGAAGAAACAGACGTGTGTTGGTTTGTGTGGGTCTGATGCAGCTGGTGTGTGTGTGTGGATGGGCGTAAATTACGGGGGGGTGAGGGGTTCTAACCCCCTCAATACATCAAAATCAGCTAATCCAACCCCCCAATAATCATGTTTCTGCCTAAATGGGCAGAAACCTCAACCCCCCCAATATTCATACCATAGTTCTGCCCTTGTGTGTGTGATATGGTGAGAACTGTAAAGCCTGAGTGGGTTTGTTTGTTTGAGAACAGAAAGCTGAGGCCATGTACTGGGCTTCTGTGTGTGTGTGTGTGTGTGTGTGTGTGTGTGTGTGTGTGTGACACCTCTGTCTGGCAGGTCTGCTGAACCCAGGCGACAGACTGATGGAGGTGAACCAGCAGCCCGTGGGGGGAATGAGCCCAGAGGAGATCATAAGGATCCTGGTGAGGGTGTCGCACACACAGGCACACGCATGTGTTCTGAGGGCAGAATGAACAATAATTGGCTCAGAGAGATAACCAATCAAATTGTAGAGGTGGTGGGTCCAATCAACTAAGGAGGTGGGACCAACCAATCAGACTGACCACGCCTCCTCTAGTTGCTTTGACCCACCTCCTCTACAATTTGATTGGTTATTCAAGATTCAAGATTCTTTATTCGTCACATACATAGTTATAACAAGCACAACATGTAGTGAAATGAACCCTGACCAATCCGAAGACTGTGCAAACAAGAGTAAACAAGAATTTAAAGTTACAATTTACAATAGTTAAAAATATAAAAAGGGCAGACAATATATAAGAATGAATTTAACAATATATACATAGAATAGAATAAAATAGAAAATAGAAAAAAAAAAGGAATCTTAGATTATTACGAACAACTGACTGTACATTGACTGTAAAAGTGCGTTTCACAGTGGACAGCAGGAGACAGCAGCATGGCTAAGGTGCAGTGTGCATGGGCTGCATTTAAAAGGGCATCACTCTGAACCAATCACTGTTCCTTATAACTGGACAAAATGGATGCGGTCATGCTAACCGTCTCTCTTACGTGTGTCACCTGCAGGCCAGCTGCCAAGGTACAGTCATGTTTAAACTGGTTCCCAAGATAGAAAAGCCAGCCAACCAGCAGGCCACGGTAACCAGCCCTCCATCCCGAACCTGCATATATTGCCCAGAACATCATCAGTGGAATGTCCCATTTTTTGAATTATCATCTATCTGTGAATCTTCCATAACCCCTTATACAGTGTTGGGCTGCCTTAACCCTTTTTATACAGCTTTGTAAGTGTCCCAGAACGTCTGCTTAAATTCACCACTCATGGGTACATTTTCCTGTGCTGTCATTGTTCCCCTTTTCTTTGGCCCCCAGCTGTTTGTGCAGGCGATGGTGGACTACAGCCCCCAGCAGGACCCTGCCATCCCCTGCGCCGAAGCCGGCATACAGTTTTGCAGGGGTGATGTGCTGGAAGTTCTTGACCAGGCGGACGCCCTCTGGTGGCAGGCAAGGAAACTGCGGGGAGCACCAGGCTGTGCTGGCCTCATCCCCTCCATTGGTCAGCTAAAAAGGTAGCTGTAGGGGGACTTGGGGGCTCTTCACCCCGCGATATGAGAGAATAAACATAGAGCTTTCCCCCTTTCACATAACTGCATGCTAAACTCCAAAGCTTTAAAATGTAGCAGATTTTAAAATCATACTATATGTCATTAAATGTTTATTTTAGCCCGTCCAACTGAATTGTACGCTGGTTTCTGTACCCAGGAAGCAGAAAGAGACGTGTTGGTGGCAGTCTTTCCGAGCACTGAGCTGGTTCAGCAGCTGTGAGTAGATTGCAGTCAGCAGTAGCCCAGTTGGCCTAGATGTCCTTGGTCCAGTGTGTCCTGGATGTTCAGACAGACACTCAGCCCCTGTCTCTGATGAGCAGCGATGCTGACCAATGAATGGTGTCTATCAGTACGAGAACGTCCCTCTGACACGTGACCTGACATGTAAAAACAAACTAACGGTCCTTAGCACACATTTTAACCAGCCGTTCTTTGTTTTTCCCCTTCTGATCGGAAGTGAGCTTTGTTGACGATGGTGAGTATGACCATATTAACTGGGATTCTAGTGCAGGCACCCCGACTAGGAAGAGAATATATGACGAGCATAATAGAAGTTTTACGTTTCCTCAAGTATGAATGTGTGAATAGATATTTATGCTGCGTGGGGGAGTGGTCAGAACTGTTATTTCACACTTCTGGGACCAGGGTTCATGTCTCCACCATGGAGTTTGGGGTGATCAGGTCTCCTCTGGATACTCTGGTTTCCCCCCACAGTCCAAAAACATGCCTTACTTTATTGGAGTTGCCAAATTGTCTATAGGTGTGAATGGTGTGTGAATGTGCCCTGTGATGGGTTGGCGCCCCATCCTGGGTTGTTTCCTGCCTTGTGCCCTGCGATGGGTTGGCGCCCCATCCTGGGTTGTTTCCTGCCTTGTGCCCTGCGATGGGTTGGCGCCCCATCCTGGGTTGTTCCCTGCCTTGTGCCCTGCGATGGGTTGGCGCCCCATCCTGGGTTGTTCCCTGCCTTGTGCCCTGCGATGGGTTGGCTCCCCATCCTGGGTTGTTCCCTGCCTTGTGTCTGTAGCCTCTGCACCCCCTGTGACCCTGAAAAGGACAAGCAGGTATAGAAGATGGATGGATAGATGGACGTTTATGCTGACAGTAAAAAAAAAAAGTCCACTCTGTTCACCCTTATTGAAAGCTACCATCTATCTCTTTCTTTTCTCTTCAGAAGAAGACATGATAGCCATCGATGACAAGTGTGTTGAAACAGGTAAAGAGCGGCCCACCTGAATGTCCACTGTCAGCTTCCAGTTCCAGATCTTTTCATATTCATAGTCATTCATACCAGACATTCAGCAGAGACTGTGCGCACAGGTGATGTGTGGCTCAGTGTGTGTCCATATCCGGAAGGTTGTGTGCTCCAGACCCATGGTCGGCAGAGTGCCCATATCACCACTGGTCCCTTGAGCAAGGCCCTTAACCCCAGCTGCTCCTGGCTGCTGGATGCTGCCTCGGCTCCCTGACCCCATGCCTCGGCTCCCTGACCCCATGCCTCGGCTCCCTGACCCCAAGACTCCCTCACTTGTATGTTTCTTTGGACAAACAGCATCTGCCCAATAAATGTAATAGAATTTAATTCTGCTTTTGTTTTACAGATGAAGAGGTTTTTGAATCTGGTAAATGCTGACTTTACATTTGTCATTTCAGTAAATAATCTGCTCTTGGTAAAATATATATAAGTTTACCTCTAATTACATAGATCTGTAACACTTGTGGAATAGAATGGATTAACCAGAAACAAACGCAGTGAATGTGTTTTACTAATTTTCTGTAATTTTTAAATGTACCTTCTGTCACATTGAACTGTCTCTTTGGAACTCAAGAGGAACTCAAAGAAGGTAAACGTGTAGTGTTTTCTATTCATATCCAACGTACTGCTCTGTGAAATCTCTATGTGGTCAGTTCACGTCACTATCTGACCTGTTTCTGCATTACAGACGATGGTGAATTCAGCTGCAGTGCAGAGGGTTTCTACATAGGTACAGTATGCGGATAGAGCTTCATGGGCCATCTGCCATGCAACTGCGATGTCTCACTGTCAGTAGAGTGTATACTTACTGTCAAAGGCCAGTTTGTTAAGTTCACCTCTTCATTAACGCAATAGGCCTGCCTCTACAAGCAAAATCATGTGGCTGAATCTGAATATATACAGCATGCAGGCAGGATATAGAGGTTCAGTTACAGTGAACAGCCAAGACGTCTGATTTAAGCAGTTTGATTTCAATTTGATTATACGATTGTACGTTACGGTTCCAGCATCTCGGAGACAACTGCCCTTCTGGGCTGTTCCTGCACTAGAGTGTCTAAGAGTTTGCAGAGATTGGGGAGATGAAATGATGGATGGATGAAATGATGGATGGATGGATACTGAAATCACTGATGCCATTTTGTAAGAGAAGCATCTGACCATCACTAAGCATATGAATGACAATGCTTCTTCATAATTGCGTATATAAAGACTCTGCAATCCGCTATCAGCTTCCATCCTCCAGCATGCTTTCCTGGCCCACTTTGTCCTACTGGGGGGGGGCATGGGGCTTTAAAAGGCAGGGATAAACCCGGCATGCCCTGCGTGAGTGCATATCTTCTAAGTATGGCCATTGTTGCATTTCATGTGTGCCGACGGATCGGGCTATCCCAGCGGGTTTCCGCCGCAGCCTGCGTCTATGTCGGAGGAAGACCCACAGCTGTTTCCATCATTCTCGCCCCCCCTTTCCCCCCCGGAGCCTCTCCAGTGCTCCAACCCCTCCATACATAGAGGTCGTGCGGTACCAGCGCCACCTGCAGGCCAGGCACCGCCTCATCGCTCTCGTGGGTGAGCAGGGATTGTATGACACATATCATCGTCCAGTGCTTCAAGGCCCCCCCCCACCATGACCACTCACACCGAATGTGTCCCTCCCCCAGGTCCTTCTGGCGTTGGGGTCAATGAGCTCAGACGAAGGCTGATCGAAACCCAACCCAAGACATTCCGAGGCCCAGTGCCACGTATGTGTACAGCATCCTGGGGTTTGACCTCTGACCCTTTATGTGTCACTAAGCGGTAGATTGTCCCATCAGACCCTACAGCGAGGTATTTAATCTGAACCTCAGGGTAAACCTGCTTTGAACAGTCCAATGTACCATCTAAGGTGTGTTTGACGTGATGTGTCACATGTGAAGATCTTCACCTGTGACCCACTGGGCTGACTGGGTTTGGCTTGTTCTGTTACCCCTGCCAGACACGACGCGGGCACCAAAGAGCTACGAGGAGCCTGGTCAGGAGTATCACTTCATCAGCAGAAGCCAGTTTGAGAGCATGGTGGACAGCCAGAGGTCACCATCCCACCTTCCTCTCCTTTTCACTCCTCCATTTCCAGTTCAGGTTGTCTGTCTTTTCCAAGTCTCATCCTCTCCTCTTTCCAACTCGGTTGGGATTAGATTTCTGGAATATGGGAACCACAAAGGCCACCTCTATGGCACCAGCTTTGACGCCATTGCAGATGTTCTGGACAGGGGGATGGTTTGTGTCGTCGACATTGATCCACAGGTGAGCGGCGCAGGGGTCTGCCAGGGCCGTAACGGGGCCACGGCCTAGGGGCCCATGCCGTATTGGGGCCATGTTGTAACAGGGCCTTGTTGTAATGGGGCCACACTGTAACGGGGCCACACTGTAACGGGGTCATGCCATAAAGGGCGGCGTGGTTTTTAATAACCAACATTAACCATCAGGCGATCCAGCTGGTGAGGACCCAAGAGCTCTGGGGGTATGTCGTGTTTGTCAAGCCGCCCAGCATCTACTCCCTCAGGCAAACGAGGAAGAATGCACAAGTGGTCACCAGTTACTATGTTAACCGCCCCTTCAAGGTGAGCCACATGACTAGTCAAAGTTTGCATAATCATTTTTTTATGATTATTGCTAATAAAACAGAAGACATATAGATCAGATCTTCTGATCTAACAATGTGATTTTTAATCAACTCATTTATGGTGTAGAATATTTTTTAGACGCTTCCATTACTTATGGTTTGGGATCCCCAACATTTTGCTAGGAGCCCTTGTCCTGGATGGTGCTGTAGCGCTTCACAGATGCTGTCGTTTCGTGCTCCAGGATGAAGATTTCCAGGAGATGGTGGAAATGGGAAGGAAGATGGAGGCTCAGTACGGACATCTGTTCGACTGCGTGCTGGTTAACGACAGACTGCTGGACGCCTGTGTGGAGCTGCTCTCGGCCGTGCAGAGGGCCCAGGACGAGCCCCAGTGGGTACCTGCTCTCTGGGTGTCACCTGCTGACCGGTCCTGAGGGAAACCATGGCGATAAAGGGGGGGGGGGCATCTGACATGACGCTCGCGCATCTGGGCATGACGCTCGCGCATCTGGGCATGACGCTCGCGCATCTGGCATGACGCTCATGCTTTCAGACCCTCACGCCCACGCAAGAAATCTTCCGGCAAATCTATATTATTCCATTATAAATCTAAAATTAGCTCGATGAAAAGTTTTGGGGTAGTTTGCAAACCCTACAGACTGCTTGCAAGGCAATAAAATTGTTACATATATGTAAATGTGTTTGTGTGTGCAGACTTGTCTTGAATTGAAAATCTCATTCCAGCCAACTGAATGTGAAATGCATAAATAAATAACTATAAATGCAATAGTATAGGTTACATAAACACATCCCAGACCAGGATAATATTGGACAATAAATCAAAGTGCATTTACAACTTTAACGATGCAACAGAAAAACTCTCTCGGCTCGCATGTGACCCGGACCAAGTGAGATAAATGGATCTTATGTTTATGAGATACTGTGTAGTGTTTAAACATTGAACATTAATAAATGCCTGTAATATTAAAGTATTGTACTTTACCGTCTTCAACCACTTTAAACTGTATTTTCACCATAGTATGTATTTTAAAGCTTTTAATTGCACTATCCTTTCATATGAATGTTTAAATAATGCTGATTATTTTTGTAGTTTATAGTAAAAGATTTAATTAAACCACCAGGAATTTGTTTTCGGGCATCATGAATACGCGACACTGGAAAGGGAAACGATATTGAATTTAAACAGTATCCTGCTATCAAAATTGCTTATCAAAACGATTTACCCTGTGACCCTATACTAGATAAACGGTCTGAAGATACATCGATCGATGCATAGACGGATGAAAGTACGTACGGAGCGATGGGGGAAAAGAGGATTTAGCACGCCGGGTTTGGATAATGCGTGTGAGCATCTGACACGGAAGTGAAAGGGGGACGGAGCCAGTAAACAAAGGCATGCTTTGGGAGCGGGGCAGAGATTAGTGTATATTTTCATGTGCTGACTTTTATTATTTTATCTTATTTAGGGTGATTTTGTAACTTTTATCAATTCTAACTTCTCGTTCGTATTCTGAAAGCGATCTCCGGCTCAGTATTATGGACAGTGAAAACACAAAGGTAAATGGCAAAGCGGGTTAGTATGTGAGCTGATGCAAAGATCCTCATGGATGATGTAGTAGCTTTGAAATAGTTTGTTTTACTAACATTTTAGTCGCACTCGCATAATTAAGGGCAATATTTTAAATAATAGAAAACGGACACATACTTTCGGTTGAAATGTTCTGTATGAAAAATGTAACGCTTTTTGAAAATATGTATAACTGATAAAACATTCTGCATGTAGAAGTTGCAGTATTTTGTTTGAATTTTAAACGCTACTTTTGCCAGTATTGTAGAAATGTACGGAAGGTAAAGCTGTCTCCGTCAACATTTATTATTAATTTTGAAAGTATTGAAATAAGTGTGCTACTGGTTCTGTTTAGGAATAACTGGGTGACCGAATTCCCATCAAAACGCGTAAAAATTATGGATTTGGGTGATCAACAGAAAACCTCCAATGCTGGAATATTGTACTTACTCTGACGTCCAGGTTTTCTGAAGGGTATCTACAAACTCACGTATGATTTTAACTCTTAATTCCTACACAGGGAAAAGGAAGGCGGCGCCGGGACGCCCCACGGCTGCCCTCTGTAAGTGCCGTATAATTTGTGCTAGGCAGAGGAAGAAAAGTTTACTCAAACATCATTAATTTCGTCCTGTTTGTTTAGCAAATTCCTTCTCTCTGAAGTTAACCCCATGTAAATGCCCGTGTAACTCTTTATTTGTTTAAATATCTGGAATTTCTTTCTGAAAATGGCGACTATCAGACACAGTATATCAGCTTCAGTGTCAGCGATTAAAACGATGTAGGTCATACTACATACTACAGAGTACATTTGGCTCTGTTTCCACCAAAAGCGGCGTAACTATAAATTCTGGGGCCCCCACCCAATTTGGCATATAATTTAACATATTCAAGGACCCCTGTAAAGTGAGGCCCCCCCTGCATCTGCTGGGGTCTCCAGGCCCCTACTGTGCTCCTGTCCACCATATCAACTTCAATGTCAGTAATTAAAACAGTGCGGGGGGGCACGTGGGGGAGCTTTGGCTCTGTTTGACCGCAGAATGATGCTGTACTGGCTGCTGTTTCGGTGGGGGCTCTCCCCTCTGCTGTGTCCTTAAGCCTTCAGAGGTTTCTGTGCCGTGGTAATCCCCTGATGGGCCAGTGTAACTCAGTGTGGATTTAGCTCAGCATTAAGCAGGGCCACACCCCTCACCAAATGGGGTCAGTTCTGTCCCCAGCCCCCCCGTTCCCAGGCAGGACCGAGAAGGCAGGTGGTGAGTAGCGTGCCGTTCCCGCACCCCCAGGGCGGGTGTTTAGGGAGTTTTGGGGGTGGTGCACTTCGAGTTTCAGACACTCGAATGGATGAAGTTTTAAATTAGTGAAATGACACGGAGACAGTTTTTAACTCCCTGCTGGTCGATACCTTGTTGTGGAATTGGGACCATATAATACTCTAATTCATTACTGTTAAATCAGTGACAGTACAAGGATTACAATAAATTATGTGTATTTCAGAGCAAATGGTGTAGTATTTATTTTGTATTTTTTTGCTTCTCTCTGGATAATGGTGATGAAATAAATCTCCATCTCTCAATAATGCATGTATTGAGCAGTGCATTGTGTTTCATGGACATAAGTTTTGGTTCAGGTGTTGCACTGGATCAGTGCGGTTTAATTCAAAGACTTTGAAAAACATCTGCCTGTTTTTTTTCCCTGTTTTATTTTGCTGTCTTTCAGTTTATGCCATTGGTGTTTAATTACTATTGGGGTTGAAAAGTTTTGGGAATTTTCAAAGTTAGAAACTTTCCATGGGAATTAATTGGAAAGGCACAAAAATTTGCAGGTTAGCCTATAACAGGGAACTTAAATGTAGTTTAAAAAAACACCTTGACTGCACTAACTGTGATGTCATTGTGTTACCAAGAGGTTGTAAGTTGTGCAAAAGCACTTCAAAAGAAGCATCTGCATTGAAATGCACTGCTTATAAGCAATATTCTGTGTTGTATTATTCATACAGTTTAGCTCTGAGTTCAATATTTCCAAAATTCCCCAGCTTAATTTCCCATGGAAAGTTTCTGTCCCTTTGCAAGCCTAATTACCATGCTAAGTTTCTCTGATATTTGGAGTGAATTACTTTAATACTTTATTTCAGCTTCTTTCTGCTCCTAACTCTCTGCACATACCACATCAATGAATTTATTCCCCTTGGTCATTTCAGCATGAGCCACGCGCCTTGCCCCCATTGCCAAGGTGAGTCTCAAATGCTACATCAGCAGGGATGTGGGGAACACAGGGATGTGGGGAACACAGGGATGTGGTGAACCATGGCTTCAAGGCCACTTCTGGGTGTGAGGCTTCTGAAGTGAGCCTACAGCCTCTGTCACGCTCTGTGAAAGGGGCCAGCAGGCTCGTCCGAGAATCTCAGTCTCAAACAAAAAAGATAAATCACTCCAATCCAGTAAATATATCTGGGATGTTGCTATCACTTATGTTGCTCTTGAGTCCGTCCTCCCTGTGCTGCTTTGCCAGGGAGCCTAACGGCGGAACATCCCAAAAAATAAAAGTTTTACACTAGGAAGTCATTTGAAGGGTAGTGTCACTGACATAGCTGTGACATTGATGGTATTTATGAGGTCTGGTTGGTTCAGGCTGATTCCGCATTTAATCCAATCAGGCCAATGATCTTGCCTGGAGAGCTATATCAAGTTTAAGAAGGGTGTCACTCCTGTGTTGGTCGTCACCTCGGAGAGAGAGAATCAGAGACGTGTTCATGGGTGACAGAGAATGAAAAGGCTGACAATGGGAAATTGGTAGTTTGTTGATGTGGTACCCTTGAACTTTAATATAAATCATATAGGAGATGCTATTAGTAAATTTATTTGTATAACGTCTTTATTGCATAGCCCATTTATGCTATTATGCTAATTATTCAATAAAGTATTTAATTCTTGTAAATTAACTTTCATTGGAGCACAACAGTCAACAACAGTGTTTCCTGGGTGGAAAAGGTCCATTTGCTGAAATTCTCTCCTGGCTTCTCCCTGCCTGCTCTGTCCTCCTCATGCTATTGATGCATTTCTCTTTTATTTCCCCTCACTTTTTATGTTTGTGGACAACTGAAGCGAAGACACTGGAGGTGAGTTTGCTGAAGGAGATCTCCATAGTGCTCAGGGCCAGAAGCTGGTGACCTTGTCTCGTCAGACAGTGAATATCCTGCAGTACTTGTGTTGCATTTTATTACCGAGGCACCATTCAGCTTCGGGAAGGTCACTGGTTTTCATCCCACCTTTGTAGACAGGTAGCTAGTTGAATTATCTCCTGTAGACTGGAAGAGCTCCCTAAAGCCTCATCATCCTCGTTGTATGACTTTTGGTTTTATTGCACCTTTCGATTTGCAGTTTGTCGCTTTATTCCCTCAGACGAAATGCCACTCGCCAAAACCCGCAGGAGGAAGCATAAAAGGGAGGCCAATGAAGCAGGAGATGCCGAGGGTGGGTTATGAAAACAGTGTATGGTAATTCATATTTGCCTTATGATGCGTTCGTAGACCATTCAGTGCACATTCATAGAACATTCATAAACAGCATGTAAGTATACCTTAACATCCTAACACACCTTAGCATCTTTAAAATACATTAATAACAAACATATGATAATAACAAACAGTATAATTGTACAGTCATGTGTTAAGGTATATTAGGATGGCATACTTAGTGTTTATGAAGGTTCTATGAATGCATTATGAAGGTGCAGTTAATGCAAAGCATTGCCAAATGTATGTAACTTATTAATAAAGGAAATTGTCATTTTCTTACATTATACGTATTATATTTAATATACAACAGTCCTACTGAAACTGTATATCACATGATTTTTACTTTGGAATGAACTTGGGTATTTTTGATGTTTGTCTTGCTGGTGCAGAACCAGGGGTGGAAATGGATCGAGTTACCAGTGGAAGGCAGTCTGAAAGCCAGGAGCCCCTCACTCCAGAACACCAAGAAGTCGCTCCACACAGGAGAAGGAAGAAGAAGAAGATGCAAGCCATTGGTAACTGGGCCTATTTCAGCTCCTGGTGGACTCACAATTGGATTTCTGCTAAGTGTAATTCTGGACAGAAGATCTCCAGTCAATATGTTATTGGAGTTTTTTCATTATTTATATATAGGTTTATATACTTGTACTGTATGATATCTGTTTTCAGGACCCCTAGACCAGTGTTTCCCAACCTGGTGCTTTTGGACCCACAGACATTCCACGTTTTTGCTCCCTGCCAGATGGTCCACATTTCTGCTCCCTCCTTGTTCCTAGCGAGGAGCTGGGAGGGACCAAAAATGTGGACTGTCTGCGGGTCCTCAAGGACCGGGTTGGGAGAAACTGCCCTAGACGATACTTTAACTCTAACTCTGTTCACAGATGTGGATGAAGACAACCTAGTGAATGGGGATGGCGAAGGGCATCACACAGATGGAGAGGAACTGACCCGGAAAAACAGAAAAAAGAAGTGAGTGCCTTGGGTTCAGAGATCCTACTAATGAGCGAGTTCCTCTGAGCAGGACAGAGAGAAGAGAATGTTCACCTCTCTTCACAGGAAGCCCAAAATGGCCGAGATGCAGTATGTGAGTGATCTTGACGTGCAAGATGACGACATTGTAACAGATGTCCAGGCACCAGTCCCCCAGATTTCTCTGTTTTCAGCCCCGACTGGCCATAGCCAGCCTGTCAGCAAAGTGTTTGTGGAGAGGAGCAGTGAGTGTGCACCCCAGTTACCATTGGCGATTCTGTCGTGTGTCCATGTGTTTGGTCACTGGGGAAATGCTGGCCGACACTGATGATAGGCTTTGCTGCTCCGGGTGATTAGGACGGTTCCAGGCCGCAGACCGCTTTGACCTGGGCAGATCCATTGGCCAGGTGGAGGACTACATGGAGGTCAGACCCTTGTGGAGCACCAGGGACGTGGCCATGAAGGTGCACAGTGGATTCAGGTGAACGACAAAGAGCAGATGTTTTGGGCCGGGGACTGTGTTGGCTTTTACTCTCTCAGAAGAATTATTGAGTGTTTGTCAAGACCAAGAGCACAAAAATTGTACTTGTAGTCTTGGCAAGACCAGTCTTGCTAACTTGTCTTCCAAGACCGAACTTGGGCCACAATGAATCATGGGATTGGTCCTATTCAGCGAGGATGCAACCGATGTATCCTTGATATTTGGGGTATGGCAAGAGCAACATTTGGTGATTTTTACCGTTCTCCGTACTTCCGTCCTTGAGTATTGGAACTGGTCTTTGGCAACGGAAGATAACGTAAAATGGGTACACAAGAACACAAGTATGGTGAAGTACGCATATTGAGAAATACCCATTGAGTCTGTATTGGGTGTCCCCTCATCCCCCCATCTTCCTGCAGAGTAATAGGACTCTTCTCACATGGGTTCTTGGCGGGTTATGCGGTATGGAACATTATCATGGTGTACGTCCTGGCCGGCGACCAGCTCACGGCCTTGCCCAACTTTCTCCAGCAATACCACATGCTCGCCTACCCATACCAGTCCCTCCTCTACCTCCTGCTGTCCATCAGCATCGTCTCCGCCTTCGACAGGTCTGTTGCCTTTCATTTACTCCTGTGTTGCTCATGTGCTGTAGACATGACTGACATAGCTGGGAAATGGCAGAATAGCACTAAACTGAACAGTGTATGACTTGTTCGCATCTGCATTAGCATTACATCTCCTTTGTCTGCATTAGCATTTGCATTAGCATTAGCATTGCCTCTCCTTATCCTACTGCCTTGTCTCCCTCCCCTGGTGCAGGGTGAACCTGGCTGAGGCTTCAGTGGCCCTCAGGAGCTTCCTCACTCTGGATCCCGCAGCACTTTCCTCCTTCTGTGAGTGTCACATGGGCTGCTCAGCTTGGAATGACTCCTTCATGACATGGCCAGCACTATGAGCAGCCACCTCAATCCTAGGAAAATCCTAGGAAAACACGGCATGTTCTTCCAGTCATATAATAAGAATTTGTTAGTTCTTTATGAAGCTAACAGTGGTTTTCACTAATGCGCTATTTTTGCACTGTAGATATTCTAACTCCAGTTGACTGGATGCTCTTTAACCCCCCCACCCCCCACCCTTCTTCTACCCAGTGTACTTTGCAGCACTGATCCTCTCACTCAGCCAGCAGATGGCCAGCGACCGCATCAACCTCTATACCACCGGCAATGAGACCTTGTGGTGAGCTAGACCCTTGCTAATACGGTTTGGGGGTGGCTAGTGCCCCCACCCACGTAGGGATCATCCAGGCCTTGTTAAGTGTGCAGGGTTACAGTGACCTTCTTCTGAGATGTGGCTCAGCCAGTGATAAGAGTGGGAAGTCCAGGTGATTTGTTTCAGTGCTTATGTCCTACTTACAAAGATCCAGAACTGTTGAAATTTGGCAGACAGATGCATAACAAGGATAGTGCAGATGGCCTTTTCCAGCCATTATCTGCTATTTTAGCTGTGCTTTGTGGTAGAAGCTTGAATGAATGGGTGGGATTATCATGTATCGGTTGGTGTAATCCACTTTCTGTTAGTTCCTATTGGATTAAACCAAGTAAGGACTGATAAAGCAGCATAGTACTGTCCTGTAGTATAGTGCATCAGTGCATGGGAGTGTAATTGCATGTGAAGGTGGGTGCACCAATGTCTCTGCAGGCCCCCAGGCTCCGAGCACCAAGTCCTACAGCCCTGGATTGTGGTGAACCTAGTGGTGGCTGTACTGGTCAGTCTGGCCTGGATCTTCATCTCCACTAGGCATGATGTGGACTTCACTGAGGGTGAGTGCTCCCTCTGGAGGAGACAGTGGGGCACTGCAGGATGGTGATGATGGTGGTTTGGGTAGAACTGGCTGTGTATGAATTTGTGCATGTTCTCTACTAATGCTGAAAATATTACCAGTGTATTTTCTCCAGTTTGTATATTATCCCAGCTCCAGGTAAAATATAACTAGGTACTCTTACTAATTTTCTCTGGCAGAATTCTTATTGGCAATGGATGTGGACGGCTGTATAAGACAGGAAGAGAAACCAGAGGTCCTTGCCTGAAGGAGTTTCCTGTCCAGCTTTCTTCCTGCCCATTTTAGATAATTTCCACCTTATTCTAAATACTTGCTCCTCAGCGTATCGCTGAAACGATATAAAGGATTGGCTGTTACCCAAGGTGTTTATTCTGGTGCTTTTAAGAAACTATTTTTGTATCTGTAAACTGTATATATGCTTTTTGTTGCACTAAGTAAATCTCTTAAAAAATACAGTATTGTCCTAATTTTTAAGCTGTAGTTTTGTGTCAATATTGTGTTGCATTTACCACATTAACTTTACCAGCCAGGAAAATAAAATGACCAAAACAGTATCACGAAGCATGCTAAACTGAGCACATAGTTCTGTAATGTTCATCTGTTTTCATAACCACTTATCCAGTATTCTGTCAGGGTGAGCATGGAGCCTCTGCCCGGCAGAGTGGACAGAATTAACATGTCATCGTACGGTGCACACTGGGCAATTTAGAAATGGAAATTCACCTACGGAAGATAACATGCAGCCTCATTTTTTAATTTATATTCAAAATTCTAAAACGAGTGAAAATACCATAAGTGTTATTTTAAGTGTTTGTTACTGACACATTTGTATTTTAGGAAAGCAGCAATCAAATAAGTTGACCGCTAACAAATGTTGGCTATTAATAATACATCAAGTGAATGCATAATTTTTTGTTTATCTATTTTGATGATCTTGTTACCATTAGCAACATGTCTGAAGTGGAAACATGAGATAATACATACATCCATCATCTATACTACTTCATCCATCAGGGTTGTGGGGAAGCTGGAGCCAATCCCAGCATCATCGGCGGGGTACACCTGGGCGGGTCGCCAGTCCACCACAGGGCCAACACAGACAAACAGCCACGCACACAATTTAGAGTAGCCCTAAGCTGCATGGGGGATCGACACCGGGGACCTTCTCACTGTGAGGCGACAGTGCTAGCCACTGCACCACCGTGCCGCCCTACTTATATAAATTAATTTATGGTCAGTTTTTTACAGCAATGATTGTAATTTACAAAACAGCGTTCCCTCATCATATTAGTCTTAACAAACCAGATTTATCAGGATGTGTGTTTTAAAGCACGTATTACGTGTGTAGTTGTGTAAAACTATTGAGGCAAATAACGCGTGTGAAAATGATTTCGTCAGAGCCATACAGTCACATAACTGCGTGGGCATCAACCCTTCTCCACAAACTAAACATTTCAAGTTGGCCATCCTGGATATTCTAGCATTCTCATACGAACAACAGCGGTTTTGCTACAAAGTTTTGTTTACTCTTCGGGCACACTTGCTTTCCTGCTCCTTAATCCGCTATTCTATTGGGAAATAATCGATATGGTCGGCAATGTATTGGTGTGGTCTTAATAAGACCAGTTAATAGATCACCGAACTTTCAAACATTAGTGGTAGACGTGGTACATGTTGGTTTAGAAAAAAGGACTTTGTTGCTTTCGCAGTTTTAATTGTAATTTGACTGAAATAACTATGCTGGACTTTGCCATTTTTGCTGTGACGTTTGTGATTATCCTGGTCGGAGCAGTTCTCTACTTGTACCCGGTAAGGTTCTGGAAACGCCTAACTAAAACGACAGGATCAGAAGAATGACTGAGAATCAAGCCCGATCTACTGTTCACTAGCTTTTTTGTCATCGAAACCTCTTTCTATCTATATTATTATTGCCGCAAAGGTTTCATGAATGTCTGGCTGTTGTTGACTTCCTTAAATCTGTATCTGTAAAGCGGGCATCGTTATCTGTTTACATTCATAATAAACTGGCTTGGAATTGACAATCTGAAATAGTTTTAAAATGCCTTGCGGTAAAACTTGAATAGCAAACTTAAAGCTGTATGCTGTACATAAGGCTCTCTGATATTATAGTGATTATGTAATTTTTACATTTTAAACTTCAGACGTCCAGAACAGCTTCTGGGATTCCGGGGCTCACTCCAACAGAGGAGAAGTACGTATAATAGATTTTTTGACGGTGCATATGTATTTATCTACAGGCATTTAACATTCATCACTTCCTTTTTCCCAGGGATGGGAATCTGCAGGACATCGTGAACAGGGGCAGCCTCCATGAATTCCTGGTTAGCCTGCACGATCGTTTCGGACCTGCAGCGTCTTTCTGGTTCGGCCGGCGACCTGTGGTCAGCCTCGGCTCTGTCGATCTACTCCGGCAGCATATTAACCCCAACCGTACCAGTGAGCACAAAATTTCTTTAGTGGATTATAGATTGTATTACTTCAGTCTGTACTGTCCTTAAGAATAAAGTGACTGTTTATTGTATTACCTTAAGCTGTACTGTTCTTAATAATAAACTGACTGTTTCTGTTATTTTGGGGTCTTTTGTCTCCCTCACACAGTGGATTCTTTCGAAACGATGCTGAAATCCTTACTGGGATACCAGTCGGGTCTGGGAGGGGGAGTGACGGAGACATTATTGAGAAAGAAAGTGTATGAGAGTGCCATTGACCAAACCCTGGAGAAAAACTACCCCCTCTTGTTAAAGGTATCTCCTCCACGACCACTGGCTTCTTTCTAAGGTATCGAGAAGTTGCCATAGTAGACACAAATCACTAAATCATTATCAGCAGCACAACACTTAACATTACGGCCTAATTGAGGTAAGACGTGTCATACCTTGAGCTAACTCCCCAAGTTACATCATTCAAAGAAGACTTTTTTGCTGATTTGGTTTAACCCCTTTCCCTTTCCTGTGCTTAGCTAGTGGAGGAGCTTGTGGGGAAGTGGCAGTCCTTCCCCGAGTCCCAGCACACACCCCTGTGTGCTCACCTTCTGGGACTGGCCATAAAGTGTGTCACTCAGCTCGCCATGGGTGACCGTTTCCGCGACGATGCGGAGGTCATCCATTTCCGCAGGAACCACGAAGCGGTCCGTATGTGTATGTTCACCTGTGCCGTTCTGGGGTTGAGGTTCATACATATTCCTCACCCTTTCATTTCCTGGTGCCAGCAGATCTGGTCGGAGATTGGAAAGGGGTATCTGGACGGATCTCTGGAGAAGAGTTCCAGCCGCAAGAAGCATTTTGAAGATGGTGAGTGAGCTG